GGTGCGTTCTACATGGTCTCCCTGAAAACAAGACCAAGTTGCGACAACGAGGTCAACCCACTTCTATTTTCCATTTTTTCTGATAATTTCTTCTTGTCCATTGCCACTGTGGGACCTTCTTTGTCAGTTTGTGGCACTATTTGATCGTTTCCTCTCGATTCTCTATATATGTTGGTCATATTGTTTCTATCCGCGAATTCTTGATGCGCGGAATTGTTGTGATGATTTCCATTTCCAGCTCCCTTTTGATGATTTAAGTAGCTTATCAGAGATATTTATCACCTCCACTTTAATTTCCCTCAATACCTTTACTTCATTCCGAAGTGTCAAAATGTAGTGCTTTCTTGAGGATCACCGTGACTTCAAGGTCAAGATGGACGGAGAATATATTCACTACTTTATTTTTCTCTTCTGTTTGGACTGTGAGATTCTTCATTATAAAGGCATCTTCATTTTTGTCGTGTGGTTGGACCTTGGGCTGCCTATAGATCCCATACTTATTCAGCTATTTCTAGTGCCTTTTTTGATTAAGTCCGATAACCTTTTTGATATTTTGTCTGTCATATTCTGTAGCCTCGGGGAATCCTCCGGGTGAGAAATTGACTCAAATCACGTCTAAGTGAAAATTTAATATCTACCAACTTAAATAATTTTCCTCTCTTCCTATCATATCTCCTCCAATTTTACTGAGAAACTTCCTATAGTATGTCATTGACCTTGTTGGAATGATATTTTCTTATCAAATTGCAAAATCTAGGAGGGATACCATAACGTTTACCACAGTTAATAAAGATCAAGTGACAAGATTGACTTTGTTTTCTTTGATCTGCCGTAATCGGTGCATTGTCTAGCAGTCACATCACCGTAATTAGATCGTAGATATGAAGACCAAAATTGTATGGCCTCTCGTATGGTCGCAGTCTCCTTTAGCTCTATAGTATTGGTTCGACCTTGTTTTCGCATCTTAGATTGAGCGTCAGGGAGATCTTGTGGAATGTACCTAGTCCTGTATCCTGCGCCATAGTATTCGTGATTTACACTCTCAGACAACTTCACTTTTATAGCATCTGTTTGCTAATATTAACAAGATCAAAGGTGTGTTTTCAATGGCCGAATTGAGGCAAACGGTTAACTCACTGTCCAGGCCATCTTGTCAGATGGAACGTTACTTCGCATGCCAGGATACTTCTCGAAATTGAAGGGTGCCAGGCGCCAGATGCGGTGATCCTGAATTCGCCGCTCGATCACGCGGCCTGTCTTCATGTCCTCTACAGGTGGCGCGATAAAGGGATCCGCCTGCGGGTCGGCCACCGGCTCTTCGGTGCCGCTAGATTCATCCTCCGATGGTGGTACTGGCGCCTCCAACTGCACTGGTGAGGTCCTGTAGACGTAAGATATGGAAGAATAGGAATGAAGAGGAACATAGAAAGGCCAAAAGCGAGTAAAACAAAGAGGCTGACTAGTTACCCAACTTCGGGTACTATGAAATATTTTTTGCAAAAAACACATTAAAGAGTTAGTGGGTGTGTTTTTGTGAGTGAATTTTATGACAAGCTGGGAATTTTTACGAACATTTTTCTCTGAGCAGTAATTTACAAATTAAGTAGGCAGGTAAACCAGAATGCATTAGGCATTCGAAATCAAAAAGATTTGTTTGACGAATGCCGATCAAACCAATTCGACCTTTTCTATGCCTATCTTCTAGATCGACCACTGTGGCTCGACACTGAACTGCATTACACAGTCTTTAGGGCATAACCCAGCCGATGCATCTAAAAGTATCCAAAATATCACTTACTTTACTGACCTTCTATGTAGCGATAGCTGCACAATTCACAATCGACTGAAAAGAATATTTAATTCTGCCATATTATCTTATGATATATGAAAAATTGAAATTATGGTGAAAATGAGTTCGCTCCTAGGTTCAATTTTGTCAAAAGCAACTGTGGTCGTTCAAACTACCAAACGATATATGCTGATCCTTCAAGCATAAATAGCAACTGGGCACGAGGTTTTCACACTAAATCCATAGTCCCTAGAGATGGTTACCGTCACGAACATAACTGACTGATCAAAAGATAACAATTGCGGTTCGGGCACGAACGATAAGTTGAAAACAGGAGAGAAAATTCGGCTCTTTTTAAACTTAATGTCTCATAGACGCTAAATAGAAAGATTTTTCGTCAGAACCAAAGAGGACATCAAATAGTCCCTAAAAGAACATATCAAACATAAATAGCAATGGATTTCGTTTGCCATGGAGACGATTAAAGTGATCAAGCTTAACGTACATGGCTTGCCATGTATCTAGTCAAATGATGCCGCCCAAATATTATAAATGCTGAGATTTACTAAATGCAGTAAAGATTTTAAATAAAAACTGTTACTAGTAACAGTAAAAGGGTAAGTAATAAACATATGGCGGCTAAACGAAATGTAGCAGCATCAAATTAATAAAGGTGAGACGATAAGTCAAGAGACAGGAGGAAAGGTTGCTGAAATGACAAGTTTGAGTCTCCGTAATATTCGAATGGGACTCAGATGGTTAGACTCCAAGCAGCTTTTTGACTATTCAAACGAAACTAAGATGCATATCTAAAAAGGATGACTTAAAATAGAATCAAGCTATAGTCTGGAGGATATAGTTCTCGTGGATAATCTCATTACTAGAGCCCATCCATAAGAATCATAAAGAATAAAAGTTGATATAAATATTAAATTGGTTAAATGAAAAAAACAAAGGAAAAGCCATTTTTTTCTACATTTTCTCAATGCCAAATGGCTTATTTAACTTTGAAAAGTTTCATTCAAAAATGAGGAATCATGTCTATGAAGACAAAGCTGTTGTGACCTCGGTTTTGGTCGCAGTAACTAAGAGGTTTGACATCGTTTTCGCAACTAGGTCATGTTTTCAGGCCGGCCTAGATGAGTGCAACTTGTTCGAAGTAATCTGCTAAAAGAGTTATGCAAATTCTCGGCGGAGGATCGTGAACATGGCACATTCCTAAACGTTTTGCAGGCATTGTAGTCAGCATCGTTGGTGAGTCTTGCCAGTCTTAGCACCAAACTACAACTCAATCCCTTGACCAAATTTACGCCAGACTAGTGTGCCTTAACTCCTCCTTCTGCCCTGGCGAACCCCCCAACACACTATCCCCGTGTCTCACTCCCCTGCTAG